CTTGTGGATAGGTACAAGGATACCTGAGCCCCAGTCATCGGGAACGGTCTCAGAATCTCAGTCATCGGGAACGGTCTCAGTCATCGGGAACGGTCTCAGTCATCGGGAACGGTCTCAATCATCGGGAACGGTCTCAGTCATCGGGAACGGTCTCACTACAATCTCGGTCTCACACTACAATCCGTCGAATTTGGCCTCCTCCATCTCAACCAGGGTACAACAAACCCCACGCGTACGGAAATCGACTGCGTACGCCGTCGGCCTGATTGACACAGTTTACTCGAACACGGACAGTGACTATGGGTTGTCCTAACATAATCACTACAACGGCCACGGCTCTGCCATCAGGGGTTTAACAAAAATATTGAAGAATACATATATAAACACGAAAAACATTTTAAATCAGAGTAGTTACCGTTCTTGGGCTTCATCGAGGCTTTGGTGGGCGACACTTAGCAGTTGTTGAAGTTCTCTTCCGGTCACTTGTGAGCGGTGTTTAACTGATAGATTGTCGGCATCAACAACGGGGGCTCCGCCCATTTGGTCAAAAGCTGGCATGTAGTTGGGACCAAAACCGGAGTTCTGCATTGCATTTCCAGGAGGACACAGTTGTTGAGTATTCCAACTCATTTTGTGACGCTATTTAAGTGTACACACAGATCGTTGAAGGATTCGATGAAACAATGAAATTGGGGGCTCAAAAAGCCTATACGGAATAAATGCACCCACAATATACACAACGAATACTACAGATTAACTTGTTAAGGAAGCGAAGGCTATCTTTTAATTCGGTCGCCAGAATATATTTATGGATTTTGCAGAGCGCTTAAGTTGTGAATATTCGGACGCAGCCTTGGGGGTTCTAGGTGGAAAGTATACAAGTGCGAAAACAAGGGACTAACAAATGAATTAACAAGCGCGTGAAATCCCGCTTGCACACTGCCAACGATATAAATATTTCCTATGAAGCATATGTATACCAAATGCGGATAAAATCTTCGGGTCTTCGCAGTAAAGATCGACTCATTTCAAATACAAGTAGCATTTCAAGGAGTGAATTTAGCGAGACATGAAATATAATTTTCAGCAGCCCAAGTATGGTGTCGACTTTAAGTCACTGTATTAAGGGAAGGAGGCTTTCGCCCTTGAGTTCCCAATTCATATCCAAAAATTGCAAAAGAGTTCAGCCTTAACCATAGTAAATAACGCAAATGTAGGCTTAACATCAGCGATAGGTGTGAGTCAGTTGCAAACTGCTGCTACTGACGCTATGTTCATTATATCTGTCACAGTTTCTTAACAAATGTGAATCAAGTTGGTTTTCCACGCTCCGACGGCCCTCTGCGAAAAGGCGTTCCGTCGAACGTCTTTATGGGCCGGCTTCCTCTGCAGTTTAAAGGGATGACCCCGCAGATGATCCGTCCGAACTAATCAGAAGAATTCGTCAAATTCCAGGGCGCAGACACGGCCTCTGAAAATATGGTAGGTTTGGATGAGGTTGCCGTGGAGTTGCCTGTAATAGAGAGGAAATTAATCAAGTTCAGTGAATCTGTCTTCATAAGGCAGATGACTGAGATTCTTGACCATCTTTGTTGCCCTCACCTGCACTCGTTCCAGCTGCAGATAATCTTTCTTGAACCACGGACGCCAGACCTCAACGGCATACTCCAAGTGGAACCGAACAAAATTCTCCGTAAATTTTCCTGAAGAGCTCCTTGTCGATGTGGACGAATCCCCGCCAAATCGCAAGCAGCACCTGTGTCGCGCGTTTAGCTGCCTTCAGATACTGCGAAGATGGTTTAAGCGAGGAGTTTATTAGAACAAGGAGGGCTTTCTGTTCGTCAACATTTAAAGGGGTTGCCCATAGACGACTTATTGAAAGGAATCATGCTCCTCGTTGGTCCTTCTAGTACGGAGCCTTAAAACTACACACCTACTAACATTTAAGTTTAAGAGCCAACGAGCAGGCCAGCTTCTTAATTGATTGGGACTCCCTTGAAGTGCTTGCCTATCGGCGTCAGACCTGATAGCTCTCCAGAGTTTGACTTCGTCAGCAAACATGATGGCGCTGCAACCCAGGTCGCCGATACAGTCGTTGATATAGATAAGGAAGTGCATTGGCCCTAAGACAGAGCCTTAGGGGACGCCACTTAGAACAGATGTGGGAGTTGACTTCGAGTCACCGATGCACAGAGTTAGCGATCGCCATGTGAGAAAATCTGTGATCCATGCCAGCAGGTTTCCTTTTATTCTAATTTCCGATTATTTATACATTAGACGTTCATGTGGGACGCTGTCGAACGCTTTCTTGAAATCCGTATAGATGACGTTGACTTTACCATCTTCATTCAGTACGCGAGTCCACTGCTCATTTGAGAGCAATAGGCTGGAAAGACAAGATTGGTTCTGTCTGAAACCATGTTGGAGCCCTGAAAGTAAGTTGTTATCCTCCAGAAACTGCATTGTCGCCTTCTTGATTATCATTTCTATCACCTAATAGCAGTTGCAAGTTAGGCTAACGGGCCGATAATTGTTTACCTTAGTTCGGGCCTCGCCCTTGTATATGGAGTAAATATTTGCTATTTTACAGTCAGATGGCAGTCTTCCTAGTTCAAATGAAGAGGCCGTGAATGCGCCCTAGAATTTGACGAATTCTTCGAGTTGGCTCGGACGGATCATCTGCGGGATCATCCCTTTAAACTGCAGAGGAAACCAGCCCATATGGACGTTCGACGGAACGCCTTCTCGCAGAGGGTCACTGGAGCTTGGAACGGACTCCCTGACGAGGTGGTGCTCTCAGATAGTATTGAAATTTTTAAACTTTATTCT